AGACTTTTCTAAGATTTCACACTACAAAATAGGTAAAAGTGTGTGACTTGTACTGTTTTGGTAACGGGTATCGGACAATTCTCAAAGCTGCAATATCGGTATTGTATCGGAAGTGAAAAAGTTGTATCGGGACATCCCTACTTAAAACCACTTTGTTAGGTCGTACAGCCACTACTTACAATACGGTGCAAAAGTCTTGAGTCATCCGTCATCTCTTTAAACTTTGTTTCCAATAACCAGTGTTGTATAAAGTACCACAAAGTGATACTTGAGTAAAAGAACAAGTATCTTAACCAAAAAACAACTTTGGTAAAAGTTAAAGTCTCCTTTAGGAATATTACTTGAGTAAAAGTCTTAAAGTATCTGATATGTTTTGTACTTAAGTATTAAAAGTAAAAGTATTAATTTAAAATGAGCAGTTAGATTTTCTATAATGACATTTATCAGGAGGTGACCTCCCCAAAAAATGCAGAATGACTATATTGTATTAAAATAATTAATTTATGTTAAATTTAGGATGCACTAGTCCAGCTGTTTCAGTTTATTTACATATATCAAGGCCCAAACATTTTCCCCAAAATAAAAATTTATCTGAGGGCTGTGGCCAAATACAATAATATAATTCATCCATCCATCCATCCATCCATGAAATACAAATACTTCTTAAGTACAGTACTTTTATTTTAATGATTATGTCCTGCTGGAGTGTGACATGATTTGTTTGTGTACAAACTACTACTGTATCAGAATTTTATATATTTATACTTCTCATTCAACCACAATTAAATTCACTCTATCAATGAGGCACAATTTATATGGATAGTATTTATTTTTTACAATAATAAGCTGGAATAAAAACAAGCAAAAATGAAATATAAGTAACGACTTTCTACTTCTTGCCTTTTTAAAAAAAATGCAGTGAGTGGAAAGTACAGATAATTGTGTGAAAATGTAAAAAGTAGAAGTAAAAAGTAGGCTGAAAAATAATTACTCAAGTAAAGTACAGATACCCAAAAATTGTACTTAAGTACAGTAAAGAAGTATTTTAGTTACTTTACGACTCTGCYAATAACACAGACTCAAGTAGTCTTGATCTTTTTTAAAGTCTTGGTACAAACATTGACTGCTTTTTCACTCGTTTTCAGCCCAGAACAGACTTTAAGGTACTGTGTCATGATCAGGCACACAGAAAAAAACATCTAAATAAAAACAAGAGAAGAAGCAGACAAAGTTCTAGAAAACTAGAAAGCCTTAAAAAAGTCTGAAAAAATAGATCAAGAACCCTTAAAAACATTAGAACAGTGGTTCTTAACCTTTTTTGAAGTACCGAACCCACCAGCTTCGTACGCGCATTCACTGAACCCTTTTTAGTCATAAATAAAATATGCTATTTTTTTTTCCAAATTCAAGACATGGGTATATGTTTTTTTACTTGTGTATAAAATGAGCCATGCATGAACATCACCTTGCTCAAAGAACAAAACCAACACAGTGCATGAACTCACGACAAATTACAGTATGACTTTATTCTGGCCCCAGAAAAATATTTTGGCCCCATAAAAAATTTCAGCCACCCCCCAAACATATACATATATATATA